TGACAATTGGAGTATTAAGATAGATAACTTCAGCAAGCATATCATTTCTCTGTCGATTACTAAATAGTAATCAATTAATCATTGTTAAAATAAATCAATAATTTTGTAATTTGTAATCGTGAATCGGTAATTTTTACATCATCAAGTGATTAATTTATTTATATTTTATTACGACCTGTAATGTATTATTTCTTCACATTGCAGATATACATACAAACGTGTTAATCATCATAGGATTGTGCTATTCAATATAATTAAATGTTATTATTATTAAAGCAGCTCGAGTAGACCAAAACTAGAGAGAATGCGTTTATGCGATAGCATTTGTATTGTTGAATTTAAAGTTTATATATATTTTGGTACAAGAATGAGTACGTATAATGATGAAGATCCTCAAAAATTTCGATCATTTAGCAAGTTTATCATTGAAGTTCATCTTCATCAAATCATACAGAAGATTGTGCGATGATATAACGACTCAAGGATTATATAGATGATGACTTTCAATTGATGAAAAATCTTTCGAACACGTCCTGATTAATCTACAGGATTGTTGCACATGCAAATAATAAATACGAAATAGTTTCTACAAAATGTAATTTAAAAAAAAAATTTTTTTTTTAAAATTTACGTTCCTCGAAAGATCAAACGAAATATTTCGTAAGCTTATTTATCGGTAATTTTTCAGAGTTAGAGTGAAGTGAATTACGTAAGACACGGCGGTGTAAAGATCGCCTTCTCCGGTATAGCAATCAACATTTTTCAGCGTGTCGACGCGAGTGTGGACCGGATGTGATGGAACGTACGCAGTTATCTCAGACCGAATCCCTTAGGCGTACAATGGGCCTATTCAATAAAAGCATCCGGTACCTGTGCAGTTTTCTGTTCGCTTACCGTTAACGTGTGCATTGTGTACTTGATTTCGCCCACGTTTCTTGCTCCTCCGATTAGACTGTTTTATGTCACTGTTTGCCGACAGTAAACAATCCCACCGGATTGTCCCATTATGCAATTCGTCGTTTCTTTCTTCGCTTCCACTTGAAGCGAATGTAAAGTGGCCGAGAACTGGTATGGAAACGGAAGCTCCCTTACACGGTTAATCTCGTGACTTCTCGACGAATTAGCAAGTTCTAAGCTATCAACGTCGATTAATAAACTCAGCGTGTAAATCAGTGATTTTAATCACACGTCGCGTACAAAAGGAGTATGATGAAACTTATTTATTTTGTTCAAATTGATCTACAGAGTGCTCTACGACTTCTATAGTATTCATTGAAAGGAATACATTACAGTCTTATTTCATTTTCATTTTCACTCGTTTCATTTATATTTTTCATATATGCATGTTGTACTATTATTATAGTTTGTTAAATGCAAATAATTCGATTTTCGAATTTCGATGTTAAAATATCACCGAAATAGGAGACAGCTACATTTTTATAAATAACTGTCGAAATATCTGTTATTTAATACATGTAGCTAAGATGCTTAACGAAATTCCATTAGAAATAACTTAGAGTGGAACAAAAAAGTATATTACCCAGTTTGCTTAATATTTCGTAATATTTTTGTGAAAACAAATGATACGTTAACAAAACTTGTTTATAAATAGTTTATGGATATTTGTAGAAATTTCCAATAACAATATAATACAAGTAATATAAAATTCGAGAATGAAAAAGGTATTGACATATAAAGAGCTCTTTTTTTTTGCAGCTCTTCAATTTGAATAGAATATTTTTAATACTTTTCTATTTGTTGGCGCGATATCATTCGATAATACCTTGCAAAAAGATATTTTGTAATTTTTCTAATGACTAGAAGTTCCACCATTAAATGCGAGGAAGATTAAACACTGAAGAATCACAAATGTGTCGG